ATTTGTCTTATCTATCATCTATCTATCTGTCTGTCTATCTATCTATCTATCTATCTATCTATCTGTCTATCATCTGCCTACCTACCTACCTACCTGTCTGTCTGTCTGTCTATCGCACAAATTCTTGACCAGGGGCAATTTGGCAGTGTCTGGAGACAATTTTGGTTGGTGCAAAGTTGGTTGGGGGTGCTACTGGCTCTAGTGGGTACAGGCCAGGGATACTGCTCAATGCACAGAAGAGTCCAGAACAAGGAATTATATGATTAATGTATCAATAGCACTGAGCTTGAACACTAAAAGCCCTGGTATAAATGTGTTCCTCCTACACCACTGAGTGGTGAGAGTTCCATGATTCAGTGCAAGATGGGCCTGCTGAGTCCAGGAAGAGGGGACCTGCTATTCAGAGCTGAGTCTATTTAGAGTAAAAGCCTCTTCAAGGAGTTAGCCTTCGACAGTAAGTTGCTCAGAAAAGCCCACGTCTCTGCATGAAGACTATGAATGCCCTTCCCTGTCACTTTGCCATGATGACAGTTTACAGTATGTTTATTTTAAGAAAAAAGGTAATATGTTATAGTCTGAAAATTATAAACCTCGAAAAATTACCTGTTCTCATTAAATGTTCTTTGCTAACATGACAAACATGTCATTTCAGCTCGTCACCCTCGAACTGCGTGTTCCATTTTAGCTGCTCATTCTCTATATGTGTCATTTCCCCTCTTTTCTAATTGTCGCTTTCCAAATCCAAGGAAAGAGCATTTCAGACACTTGTGTTATTTTTCTCTTCCTCACATTCAGGAGGCAAAGATGTCAGGGCTTCTAACAGAGTGGATGGCATATTATAAATAAAGGATATTTTCAGTCACAAGCCGGTCTGGATGATGTGCTTCTCTGGTAGCAGAAGGGGAATCTATGTTGTCTTAGATGTGCACGTTGAAAAACGATGTGTAAGAAAAAAAATTGCTCTTAGCCCCTAGTTGATCCACACTCCATATTGGAGATAAAGGCAGGGCAGTGCTCCAATCCATCTCCATGATGACTTGCTGCTGGCTCTGGGTGGCTGTCGGCTGCCAGGCATGGGTGTGAGTGCTTGGCATCATGCTTACTACAGAGCTAGCAGGTATTGAGGGTTGATTGTCACTTTGTCATCCTTCCCATCTTCTTTACCTTTGCAGATCTGTTTTAATGTGGGACTGTGATAATTTACTTGAACTGATATGGGTATCCCAAACCTCCTTGCTTTTAACAGAATGAAATCACATCGAAAGAGCCTCTAACAAGTGTTATTTTATTTTGAGATACATCAGTTGATGAAATTTCGTATCTTAAGTCTCAGGTCAAAAGGCTCAGGAAAGATAACTACTTCATTTGGTTACCTTTAGACTGGAGTTCTACAGCAGCGTCCAGTTTTGCACACTGTAACTCCTTTTCAGAAGTGAAAATCATACTTTTAATGTTGTAACCCAGGGAAAATGAGTATTTTTTTTTGATGAAAATGTGTTTGTTTTACTTCTCAAATAAAACATTGTAAAGATATTTACCCAATATTACATTAATTGATACAAGAAAAAACAATACAGACATCGGTGCATTATAAACACCAATAAGTCAGTAGATTTGTCTTTAAGTTGCTTAAATAACTCACAATTCTTCTTTGAGCATTTTTTGCTGAAGGAAAATGATCCCCAGGAAATGACAAAGATCCCAGATCTGAAATAACTTCCTTCTGCTTTACTCCATACTACTTACTCCAGCAGGGGATCTCGCTAAGGTGAGGTTTGAAAAATGCATACCCAAAAGCACTTTATTCATACATTACTTGGAGTTTAAGGATTCATCCTTTCTTTTTCTAGTCTTAAGCCCAAGGTTTTAATTTTATTTTTTAGTAAACCAATTTAAAAATAATATTCACCTTCTTTGATGAAACTGTTCATTTCTATTACTTTAAGCCTTTCTTCTGATTTTTAGCCCTATACTAGTGGATTTTAGTTTTACACATTTATCCATAGTTTTACACATTTTCCTACACTTTTATTTTCTCCTTGCTTATCCACTGTTTATTACAGTGTTCTGTGCTTGGGCAGGGATTGTGGGCTGGTGGACACCTGAGCCTCTGGCTCCCCATTTTCCTCCCTAGCCCATCCTCCACCTTCATGCTCAGCATCTCTTGTTCCTACAGAAGCCATTCTCTTGCCTTGTCTTGATTTGCAGCCCCATTACCTATTTCCCTGCCCAACCTGAACGTTTTGGTCAATGGGAATGTTGTAGAATTCCTTCCATTCTTAAGGACTCCAACCTACTGCCTGCTCAGAAGTTCTTGGTCCTGGTGAGCCCCGTACTTGGCTTCCTTATATTCACTCCATGGTTCCTGCTTGTCTGTGCAATAGGCCTTACCTCATGCTCCTCGGTTCCTTTGCAAATTCATACATGCATATAGCTGTGTGTGCAGTTGGCTCTCTGTAAATACTGAGTGAATGGGAGACTCTAAACTCAGGTTTCTAGTCAGGTTTAATCATATTGAGCCAACTTCTATGAAATTAACCCATAGTTTTTCTATTCTTCAATTTCAAAATTTCAGTGATCATGACTTTATCCTTCCTCATTGGTTTGACTCAAAAAGTACAGACTGTGAAATTTGATACACCCTCAAATCTATGTTTTCTTTATCTTGAGACCTCACCATTTGTTCAGGCGGTAAGCACGCCTCTTTAAACAAGGCCTGTTTCCTCCCTTTCACTTTATTTACTGGGACCATAATGGCTTCCCACCTCAGTTTTCTCTGGATTTTCTTCTAGTTCTTCTCTCTTTTACTTACTTATTATTATTTTTAGAGACAAAATCTTACTCTGTTGCCCAGGCAGGAACCCTGTGGCACCTTCTTAGCTTTCTGCAGCCTTGAGTTTCTGGGCTAATGCAGTCGTCCTGCCTCAGCCACCCAAGTAGCTAAGACTACAGACACACACTACTATGCCTGGCTAATTTTTATTTTATTTTTTGTAGAGATGAAATCTCACTGTATTGCCCAGACTGGTCTCAAACTCCTGTCTTTGGGTGATCCACCCGCCTCGGCCTCCCAAAGTGCTAGGATTACAGGCATGAGCCACCATGCCCAACCAAGTGTCTTAAACTTAATGTGCACAAAACAAAATGATCCTATTCTCATCTAAACAAAATGCATCTGTTGATTATCCTATTAAAATGAAAGGCATCACTATTCTCAAAGTCACATTTTCTGTCGAAAGTTCATCTATGTCTCTTTGCTCTGTGTTTCCAAAATTTAGCAGATTATAACAACTACCCTTTTATTATATTTTGCAATTTTGGGGTCAGGAATTTGGGCAGTGCTCAACTAGAGATTCTTTTGCTCTCATGACGTCTACTGAAGTTACTCAGTGGGTTTCAGCTTTACTCATGGCTGGAGTATTGGGCTCATGGGTGACCCGTCAACTACAGCAGCTAAATGTGTTATCTCTAGCATGGCCGTCTGAGGGTAGTTGGACTTCTGACCTAGTGTCTCAATGTCTTAAAGAATGTGTTCTAAGAGACAGGAAGTAGCTTTCAGGGCCTGGGTCTGGAAACTGGCACATGTCTTCTCCTGTATTCAAATGAGCAGAGCAGTCACTGAGCCAGCCCAGATTCCAGGTGGGGAACACAGACCCACCTCTCAGTGGCAGGAATGGCAGACTCTGCCCATCTTTAATTTGCCATACTTTGCCTACAGTCATTGTGTACTGAGTTTGCCTTTTTATTCACATTGACACCCTGAAGCGACTGTTTAATTTATTTCTCTTCTTAACTATGGAAGTGGCTTCAAACGGACTTCTTCATTTCTATGCTTTCATCTGCCTAATTTCCTAGGTACACTATCATGAGAATAATCTTATTAATGTTAATAAGAGCGTCTAACATAGTAGCTTGTTGCCTGAAAAGACCTCACACCTTAGTGTCGTTTGCCTTCCAAGTCTTAACCTCTGCAAACTCTTCCCACTACTTCTCTTCCTGGATCAAGTACAGCAAAGCATTCCCAAAACATGTTGCATACGTCTTCCTCTTGCCCCTTCAGTGTGCCTTTTCATCCTCTTCCCTGGGGAAGGAATGTGCTTCCAGAAACCTCCATCTGTTGAAATCCTCTTTATCCTCCAGCATTACACTCATATTTGAATTCCTGCGTGGACCCGTCGTAGATCCCTCTCTGTGGCAGTCCTATCCTCCCTGGACGCCCACAGCACTCCCGTTCTTTCTAAGGCTTGCTAATAGCTTGGATTATAGTTATTTTTACAGGCCTATATTACTTTAATGCTTGTTAATCATTTAAATTGTTCATAATCTTTAAAGTTTCCCAGCATAGTACTTGTATTTTACCCAGTCGGTGCTTGATACTTGATACAGATTTTATTTGATTCACACTTGATCCCCAGCCAGTTATTTTGCAGGCAGATTATCTACAATTTTAAAAGGCTATCCTGCATCACTAAATACAGAATTTACCAAATCGTGATGCTTTTTCAAAAGTTGGGTACCATGATACTCATCAACTTAGTAGTAAAAGACAGCGGCCATGGCCTTCTTAAAAATATGCCTGTTAAATGTTTCAAAGGGATGGGCAGGTATTTGTGGGGTTTTGACATTTAGATCTGTGTTTGTGCAAGGGGGTAGGACAAGTGGCCAAGGGAAACCAGCCGATCCCAACTATTAATCCACATTCCTTAGGAGTGACTGTGATGACAGTATAGCTTAAACTTGAATGTTTCTCACTTTACAACAAATGGGCTATGTCATGCAATTATTGGGAGAAAGAAATGTCTACATTGAGACACACACGCTCACCCGTGCATTCATACGCACACACAGCCTGGTACATGACCTAGAAAAATGTGCTGGTTTAAGCTCTCCTCTGTCTCCACAAAGTGTAACCCTGAAGTTGGTGGGGGAGTTTTACCAGAAGACCATCCACCAGAAAACGAACTCACAGCCATCTGATTCTTCTCTTTTGTGCGTTTTAGGCACTTTCCACACATGAAGGGAAGAAGAGCTTCTGCTTAGAAGACACGTGCCCAGAGTCAGAGGCCCCTTGCCCACCATGAAGGGAACCTGTGTTATAGCATGGCTGTTCTCAAGCCTGGGGCTGTGGAGACTCGCCCGCCCAGAGGCCCAGGGCGCGCCTCAGTGCCAGAGAACTGAGCACCCGGTCATCTCCTATAAAGGTAAGGGACCAGCACGCGCTGAGTGCAAAGCCATCATCTAAATGCACATTCTGTATTTAGTGATGGAGGATAATAGAGCATCACAAATGCTGTATAATCCAGTGACTCTTGTTTTAGACGTAGTTTAAAATAAAGGTAAAAATACAAAAGCCTCTATCATTAGAATTTCTTATCCAGAAACTGATCACTGCCTCAAGAAGGTTTTGGACAGGGATTACCAAGGTAGAAAAATCTCACTATTTCTGGTCACCTTTATTTAACAAGTACTGCAGGCCTCCAGGTGTTTGAACCAAAGGATAAAAATGTGACCATAAAAATAACAACGAAACCAAGGAACGCCTAAAATTCATCACTGTGGCATTTTCCTGGAAAGCCTTAGTCTTGCCACAAACTTACCCCTCTGTTTCTATCTACCATTGTGTAGCAACAGAATTGATTTAATGTCCTAAGTATCTCTATGGATTGCTGGGATGAAATAATTAATCTGCATATCCACTCATTTATTCTTTCATTCATTGAAATTTGTTTAGGGTCCTTCACATCCAGGGGACTCAATCATTCAGAGTGGAAAAGAAAATAGACTTTATCCCTGTCCTCAAAAAATTGTATTATCAGGCTAAATATGGTGAATCAGACTTTATGTTTTAGTAATTCACGCAACAAGTGGTTTTACGTTTTGTTGCTTTTAAAACTTTGCATGCCCCACACTTTACTAATTCATGGCCCAGCCCCATCCTTTTTTTCCTCTAAAGTTCCACTCTTGCTTCATCACATTCCCACTAAATTATTTTGGAGATAATTCAAAAAATCATATAATTATATATATAAGATTTCAGTTTAGAATGCTCAAAGATAAGGAATTCAGTACTGTTATCACAACAAATAAAAAATGATTTCATGACATCATCAAACACCCAATGGGCGTTGAGACATTTTTCATGGGTTCATTAATTGCTAGGCATCTGTTTGTTAACAGTTAAGCCACATCAGGATTTAAATGGATTCCATACAATACCATCGATTGGTATATTTCTTGAGTCTCTTTTAATATTTTGCTTTTATTTCATACCCTTTGCAAATTAATTTTTACAGAAACCAAGTTCTTTGTCCTGGACGGTTTCTGACAGTCTGGATTTTGCTCATCGCATTCCAATTGTGTGGTTCAAATATGCTTCTGTCCCAAAGATGTCTGTAAATCCCTAGTAATCTCAAGACGCCTACTGAGATGAGATCCAGGTTTGGATCTTTTAGCCTTGACTGTGTCATGGGTAGTGCTGGATGTTTCCTTCAGGAAGCAGAGCATATCCAGCTGGGAAACAGTCAGTCATTGATGATCACTGCCTCAATCTACTGGTTCACCCATGGGTAAAACTGGGATTTTCCCATTTTATTCTTTTCCTCATTTTGTGGTTAGAATGCTTCTATATAAACTATCTTTCCTTCATCAACTCTTTGAATATCCTGAAGGTACACCTTGTACAGAAAAGGCCAAATAAATGGTCCCCGCCGCCACCAGTTTATATGTGTATTTTTAAAAAATACACTAGTAGTTTGGTTCTTTAACATCCCTCTGGTAATTCATTTGTCATCCAAATGGGACAAATAAGACATTATGTTTGCTTTTTTCTTTGATTATTAGAATTATTATGAATACATGAATTTCAACCTATTTGTTGCATTTTAATCCATGTAGCTTACATCCTTGTACATAGTGAAACTGTAGCATTTGAACCCCAGAGTAGCCTCTTGAGGGTGGCTTCTGGATTTTTCTGACCGCCATCCAGGTGTCTTTGAGAGCTTCTTTACTCTCTGGGTTGATGAGGTGTTCCTCTTCCTTTTACCTATTTCCTTCCATAGATCTGGAATACACATTTCCAGATGCTTTAGCACTCAAGGTGCCCACGTGTCTTCTCAGTGGACAGTGCTAAGAAAAGCATGTTTTCAGATATACCATAAGCTTCTCCTGGTGCTTCCAGCTCATCTCCAGGACTCAAGGGTCTTTGTTAACCTTTCGCGTCTTGGCGTCTGTTTCTTCCTTGCACAAGATCCCAAGTCTCTACAGACCAACCTAATGATTTGTCTTTTTTCTTTAGCACATACTCAGTCATTTTAGAGTAACAGCTGCATACAACCCTGGTTGTTTTTGATTATTAAAAATCTTTAAAATGCCTTTTTTTTCTTTCTTTTGGTCTTCACAGTACATATATTTCACTGGGAAATACCAGCAAAATCACTGCTTTATAATCAGTTGAAATAATTTCTTTCTGTGTGGTTATGGCGCCAACCCAAGACCCAGTTACTATCATTTGTTTAATTTTTTTTTGACATTTAGAAATTCTTAAAATTGACATTAAGTTATTTTGCAGTGTTTCAAAGTCAAGTTATTGAAGCAAGAGGTGTTCAAAGGAATCTAGCTTTGCTCCTGTTTTCTGTATCCTGTTCTAGAACCCTTTCTGCATTTAGCTTTTTACCTATATTTTATAGGTTAGGCTACTTGTAATAGAAGCAAAGCAACAAATACACATACAAATATATACTTATACTCTCTTTTCTTAGATGAAAGGTAGCACTTAAATAGACTTCTGTCTGTGTAGCATTGTTAGGTTAATGATATTTGCTGGAGGCTACTCTCTAGAAAAAGAGAGAGATCTATGTCATTCTCTTTTTTTTCTGTAGCTGCATAGCTTCCACTATGTGATGAGCCCTAACTTAATCAAAATTCCTTATCGAGGGGTGCTTAGGTTATTCTCTGTCGTCTGTGACAATGGATACTGTTTCAATGAGTAGTGCCTCCTGTAAACTTCAGTTAATATTTTTGCAAGTGTACTATTGGAAGAGATTTTTGGAATTGGGATTTCTGGGCCAAAGGGTGAAAGCACATGTGGTCTTGTAGATGTTGCCCAGTTCTCTTTCATGGAGAATGCACCACTTTGTATTGTAGTTGCCCTGGATATGAATACCTGTTACTTTGCTGCCTTCCCTGCAGAGTATACCATCAGGCTTTGGGATTTGGGCTAAACTTTGTGCATAAATGGCATCTCAGTGTATTTTTACTTGCATATTTTAAATTTTGGATGAAGAATCAATGAACATTTAAGAGAAGCCTTTTGTGTACAGGGTCTTTGCTAGATATTGAGGAGATCGAGAAGATACATAGTTCCTATTAAAAGAGTTTAGACTATTTTTAGGAATGTGAACTAAAAGGGCCATTGCATAACATTCTGTCAAGGGTCCTGACGGTTGCCTGTGTTGGGTGCTGTAGAGCCTAGGAGAGGGGCCCTCAGCCCACATCCTGGGCTATAGGATGGTGATTGAGGACGGTTTCTAGGATAAGGTCATGCCAGAGCTGCATCCCAAGTGATTGCTAGAAGGTGTTTACAAAACTTATGACAGGAGAGGTTTCCAGGGAGAGGAAAAGGGCAGGTGATAAGCCCTGAATCGAGAGAGGGCGCACTGCAGGTCCTGGGAAGCCTCACACACAGGAGGTCAGGATATCTTATTTTAAGATATGGAGGAGGAGGTAGAGGGCATGAGGCTCACTGGCAAGTGGGGAATAGGAGGTGCCTGGCATTGGCAGGCATATGAACAAGTTTATCCTCTATCAGGAGGATGGCAAAATGCCAGCAGGGACAGCCCATTCCGAGGCTGCTACTGAGAGCAACAGGAGGAGGAACTGCATTAAGGGAGGAGAGGCAGAAATGTAGAGAAGACATGGATTCTGGAGATTGGAAAGGAGTGTGGTTGAGGATTCAGTGGATGTAGAGCAGGAGTGAAGAGGAAGCCCTGGGTGCCATCCCCACATTCTTGGCTGTTGATTCCACATAGAATCAAGAAGAGAAAGCAGATGCAAGGGTTGTGGTGATTTTAGATGGAAAAGGCTGAGCTCCCATGAGCCACCAGATGGAATTATCCAGTTGAGAGCGAGCCTTCCTGAGAACCAAGAAAGGGGATACGTTCAAGAGGGCAGTGTCCAGCAGAGCATCGGCTACTGCAGAGTGTTCAAGGCAGGTGTTTCCCAGAAGGAAGAGTCACACACTTGTCCTGATTTTCCTGGGACTTTCCTGATTGCTTATGTTCTGGAAAAGCCAGGACAGCTGGTCATTCTCCGAGAAATTCCGTCAGCAGTACTGTTTTAGCTGCTTAGCGCTGCTCTAAGAAACGACTGCACACTGGATGGCTTAAAACAACCTAATTGTCTCTTCTCACAGTTTATAGGGGCCAGAAGTCCAAAATCATGGTGTTTGCAGGTCTGTATTCTCCCTGAAGGCTCCAGGGAAGAAATTCTCTGCTTCCTCATAGCTTTTTATGGTTGCCAGCAGGGTTTGGCATTCCTTGGCCCATGGATGCATCACTCTGGTCTCTTGGTCTGTAGTCTCATGGCATCCTCCCTCTGTGTCCCTGTCTGTTTGCCTTCTCCTCTTTTTATAAGAATGTTAGTCATGTTGAACTTAGGGCTAACCCTAATCCAGTGTGACCTCATCTTAAACAATTCATCTGCAAAGGTGCTGTTTCCGAATACGGTCACGTTCACAGATACCTGTGGTTAGGACTTCAGGGTATCTTTAGGGAGGACACATCAAAGGCAGCATGTATCAGAGCAGGTTCAGCGCAGGGTTGGGGGAAGAAACCAGATGGTGACGTGTGGGGGGATACATCAAAGGTTAGGGACTAGATGAAAGATATAAAAGGAGAGAATTCATGTCAGCCACATAGGGACATGAGGGCAGCGAACAGCTTTTAAAAGAGCATGACTTAACCATCCTCAAATGGCGATGTGAAGGAATGAGGTGAAGAAAGGGGCTAAGGAGAGAAGAGGGGGGAGCCGATTGGTTACTCAGCGTCCCCGGTGCTGTAGGAGGGGACAGGAACTGGGAACAGGTGCCCAGTTAGGTTATAGGAAGCCGACTCCACCTCCAGTGAGCCTGGAGGGCAGGAGGCCAAAGCACCCAGGATGCAGGAGAGCTTGTGGGCGGGGCTGGATGCAGGAGAGGAGGGAGTTC